AAGTGATAATTAGTAGAGAATAATCTGCTAACTGCATGGTTTAATCACAGGAAGCCAGCCAGCCACTTCATAGTTCCATATCTATGGTCACTTCAGGAAGGCATAATCTACAGTAACCTGCAGCTAGAGTAACTGACTCCATCATATAGCAGCTTCATTATTATCAGCTAGGACTCATTCAACAGCTAAATCACCTAGCTACTGATACTCTATCATTGATAGAGGTCTTTTAGGTACTGAATTTTCTCTTCTTGAACACAAGAATGGCAGAGTAACTCTTCATTGAGAATTTTAGAGCCTCTTTCAACTTGATTTCTTCACAAAATGCTGAAATAGAAGTCTTAAAAGTCTTAAAACTCAAGAGCAAGACATGTGGGTGTGGTCATGGCCACACCTACTTTTTGACCACTCCCACTTTCAGCCACACCTTTGCCCTACTTGCAGTGAAATCCTGCAGCCGCTTATGCTGTTGAATCCGTCTTGAATGGAATCCGTGTTACACTTATTAATTATCACTTTATGTGTAACTATTGAATCCGTCTTGAATATAATTGACATTACACTTATTAATTATCATTTTATGTGCAACTGTTGAATCCGTCTTGAAAGGAATCCATGTTACACTTATTAATTATCATTTTATGTGTGATTATTGAATCCGTCTTGAATATAATCAACATTACACTTATTTATTATCATTTTATCTGTAACTGTTGAATCTGTCTTGAATGGAATTGACGTTACACTTATTTATTATCACTTTATGTGTAACTGTTGAATCCGTCTGGAATGGAAAAACGTATGAGTATGTGAAAGAGATACATTTGTCAACAAAGAAATAAATTTTATCCCTACATCACATGTATTTATTTTAGGATTAGAAAGAAAGAAAATACTGGTAACTGATAAGAAAAGAAGCAAAAGATTGTGCTAGAATAATTCTGAATAGAGTGAATATGATTACAATGCGAAGTATGTGGTTATCAATGGCATTATTGTATTACCATATATAGATCATAAAGAAGCTATAATTGATGAATTATTAACTATTGGAGCTGATGATGTCATTTTGAAATGGTATGCCACATTACTTTGTTTATGAATTTGTTAGAAACTATTTATAGTTATCATACAACAATAATATGTGACCATAATTGACAAAAGGTACCTTATGGCGGGTAGTGAAATTTGTCTTTATAGCCTAAGAAATCCAACTTCCTGAGCCCCATTTATCATAAAATTACTTCACAGGATGCAAAAAGTTACCATGAAACTTTTAGAAACAATGATTGTCTAACAAAGCACTCACAGGTTGATATTTTCCATTATTAATATCAATTTTAAAATCCGCCATAAGGGCCCTTTTGTCAATTATGGTCACATATAAAGAAATCAAGGTGGAACAGTCAGTATTTTATCAATTTTAATTTGTTTTATAAATAGTTAGTTGTTTATTGTTTACACTTATGTTTACATACATTTTTAGTTATTTTAAATAGTTTAGTAATTATTTTTACTAGTTTTATTGTGTTAAATTTACTTGTATTTAGTTGTTAATTTCATGTCAATCAATGTGAGTATTTGTTATTTTCAATCTATTTTTCATGTTAAAATAACTGTTGAGAATGTTAATTTAACGACAGTCATGCGGAACTACAGCATTAACCACATTTTGTATTGGTTAAATTGACCTTAAATTCAAGGTTAATGTGAAAATGGTTAATTTAACTACAAAACAAAATGTGACCATAATTGACAAAAGGGCCCTTATGGCAGATTTTAAAATTGATCTTAAAAATGGCAAATATCAACCTGTGAGTGCTTTGTTAGACAATCATTGTTTCTAAAAGTTTTATGGTAACTTTTTGCATCCTGTGGAGTAATTTTATGATAATTGGGGCTCAGGAAGTTGGATTTCTTAGGCTAGAAAGCCAAATTTCACTACCTGCCATAAGGTATCTTTTGTCAATTATGGTCACAAATGGTTAAAATTAATCCAAAATTTAAGATTGATGGCAAATAGTTAATTTAACAGCAAAAGAAAATGGTTAACATTAACTAAAATTTAGGTTACCCTGGTTGCATTTTCATTAACCTGAAATTTGGGGTTAATTTAACTATTTTGTTTTTACAGTGTACTTGGTACAACTCAGATACCCATCCAATGGACAGAGCAAGTTCTTTTCCACCTATATCGTCAGGTTTCATCAGCAATGACAGCATAGAATGGTTGATCCTTTATATCAGCCAGGAGTGATCTTAGCAGATTTTTTGACGTCAACTCCATTAACTCAATTATTTCCAATGACTGATATCTGCTACCGTTTACCCAAGCCTGAAGTTTAGACAGTCTTCAGCTTGTAGTTTCATTAACTGATGTAGATTCCCTTCTCCTTGGCCATGAAATGATAACCCTTCACACATTGAGAAAAGTAAGTTGCGTATTTCAATCAGTAGCATTCTCCTATTTACTTCTTGCTGCTTCTTAAAAGCAGTGTCTGCAACTAAATTAATGCCTAGCCTGTGTATTGATGAATGTGACTTGACTTATGCCCTTGAAATTTTCCCTTGGCTTTCTTCCAGTTGGAAAGTCCTTTTGTAATAAAGGCAGAATAGATTCTTTTACTAAACACTGCATCAAATTTGGTACAGACAAATGAACAATAAAATCAAACAACTAAATGTCGTGTTTTACAGTAGGATAGCCATTGGTGATTCCAGAAACATGCTTTTTGAATGGTATGAACCTGTTCTCCCTGTCTTTTTTTACTAGATGACACATCAATAGAATGATATGGTGTGGTTAAATCATAGATAATAAAGACTACGTACATGGGATAGGAAACGGGAAAAAATCAGAATACACTCCATGTCATATTGATATTATAGTTACAAATATTTATAAAAAATTAACTTGGTTTCCATAGCAATAGGAACTTAGATATACCTGTGCAGTATAGTATTCATGGCCCGAGCTAATACTCAATTAAATGCTGTTACTAGCTTTTCCACTCTTGCTATAAGTAACTTATCCAAGTATATAATACAATAATGGGTATTAATACAATTTTTAATCACTAATCGGTCAATTTGAAAATGCTGTGGCATCAGCTTTGGCTGAACCTAGGTTTAGATTGACTACACCACACCCTTCCCTAGTTCTTGAAAGTGCCAGCAAGTTAACCGAGTGGATGAAAGTTCCTTCAAATAGCTCTACTTTAATCCTATTTTCCAACAGGCTTATTGAACATTTGAGGGAATGCTTCTTACTAGACACTCATGAGCACATATAGAAGAACAAAATGTGGGGGCTTTATTATCAAATGCGGACCTCTGAAGAGTTCGTGAGCTTATGGACTGATTTTCTGCAATACTCTATCCACACTGATTCATCACCATTCTTTTACCTTTATGTCACAGACTTTATATTCAAGTTAATTAAAACTAATTTTCCTGTCACATTGCCTGCACCTAAAACAGCAGTGGCCGCAAAGTAAGACTCTGTTCTTTGTCAACCTTCGAGCAAAACTTATTTGGCTATGTTGCTGGCTACATTTGCGGAAAAGTGTGTGATAGGCTTGACCAGAGAAACTCCACTAAAGAAGGAGGCAAGAATTGCCATGACAGAACTTATTGAATCTGATGACGATGAAGATGTAGTGACTGATGAATGGACAGTGACTAGACAGAGGAGGATTCTGGCATATCAATGACAATGTATTGGGTCTTATTTAGCCATGGACCTAGAATCAAAGCGGTGCCTTTTAGCAATGAAGGAATCCTCGACTCAAAATTGAAAAGAGCCCCTATTGAATGCTATAATAAGTGGCAAAGAAGTTCAGCTTAAATGATCGTTCTTACAACAGATATGGAAGATACTGTTGCAAGTTTGATTTATTGCACGATTCTTGATAATTTTTTGTTGATATTGGAGGTTTTGCTTTCGCTTCAGGCTGTATTGAGATGCATAAAAGATCTCGGAAATCAACTTTGGAAAAGAAGACTTCCTTATAAAAGAGCTCAGCTAGTAGAGTAACTACAATGTATTATTTGTTCTTATTATTGATATTTAATTATTATTTTTTTGTTATTATTATTATTATTATTATTATGCATCATCAGATTATTATTGTACTATTATTATTACATAAATTTAGTGCTGTCTACGACGTTTAGTTAGAGGAATCGCATTTTCTTTTTGTATGGTGAACAACTTTCTTTATTGTTGTTGCTACCTCAGCAGTTTCCTTTTATTCCACCACATGTACTATTAATGACCCTGAGAGCTTGAGTGCTTTTGATAAATTCAGCCACGTTGGGATTTTCACGTGTGCCACCCCTCTGCCTATGCTGGCCAAAAAATTTTTCTGGAGGATCCTGGCAGATGTTATTACTTACAAGTGCTTCTACCCCTAGAATTTTGAATAAATCATGGACTAATTCCATAAATGAAGTTACTATATCAGGAACAAATTCTTGCAGTTATTAATTAATAGACCAGTTAAAACATGTAATTTTTAAACCAAGGCATGTCTCAGTACTGAGCATCATCATTTTCTTGTCACTGTTCCAGAATTCTTTACTAGATCATTCTGTTACACTAGTTTGCCATCCATCCAAACATGGGAGGAATGTTTCTTTCAACCTTTAGGAGGACAGAGTAAAGACAGGTGTAGATGAAAAGCATACAGATGATACAGTAATTTACATAATTACTGAATACAACAATTACAATATCTACTTTTAATCTGAAATCATTGTCAGATCTGTAAGGAGACTTGAAGGGGTTTCGTGTGAGCCTACCCTTGCTAAAGCAACTGACATTTAGGCAGTCAAACCATTTATCAAAAATGTCAACAAATTTGGTCTCAGACATTTCTTCTTTCTTCAGCATTTCCAGTCCTTTAGCAGCAGATGAACTAAGAACCTAAAATGGAAATGTATGGTTTAATATGAATTAATTTCAGTGGCATCTTTGCCATTATAAAATAATATTGTTACATTTACTTGTGCTGCTAAGTCCACCCTCATCTTTAAGAAGCTAGTAAGCACAATGTGCTCATATTTCAACTTCGGAATTAATGCCAGACCAGGATCTACACAGCAACAATTACATTCATATAGAAAGAACTCTACCAAATGTTGCCATAGAATTCCTTTGCTATTGCACTAATTAGGAATACTGTATAGACGGAAAATTTTGCGGCAATTTAAGTTTGCATTTTCAATAAATTTTGAATGTTTTGTAATTTTGTGAATTAAAATTATGCGATTTGGCCACGTTTTCTTGACCATGCCCACTTAAACGCCATTTGTACGTCAAGATCGTTGATAGATTTTGTAACAATCGATAGCTGTGTTAAAGGGCATCATATCTACAAGGAAAACTGGGATCCTGTCATAGACAAAGTACTAGAATGTCACAAAGAAACAAGCAACTCTCCACGATGCTAGCGATACACGCTTATCGAGCCCACGTGATTTTAATTTTACGGTTTTTAATTATGCAAGTATTTTTAAAGCGCAAAATGCAAAATTAAATTCCCCTCAAAATATTCCGTCTATACAGTAAATACAATAAAGGTAAACTACGTACATCATCGTTGTTACCCACAGTCAACGCTTATTATTTGTCCAGCCATTGCGGACAGTCTTTAGAAGGTGTGGTTGATCGATGAAGAAGTAAATGGATCTTTCTGGAGCTTAAAGATTCACTACTTTATTGACAAAAGAACAGTTACTGGGGTAATGCAAATGAAACAAACGGCGATTCGCTCCAAGACCATCACAAGTGAGTGCTAGAACTTTAAGCCACAAAACTCCAAACGAGCAATAGCTTCCCAAAATGGATCAAAAATTTGATCTCCAGCAAGTGCTGTACAAGAAAATTGTGCATAGGGGAAATGCAAACTGTTAAAGAGACCTTTTACCATAAACACAAGCATTGAGTTAGAAAGTGTCAATGGGTCATTAATGGCTTTATCATTCTCAAGTCAGTCGAAATGTGTATTAATGTCAGCTAAATCAGTGAAGCCAATAACATTACCTATTACTGCTAACAATAATTTTTATCATCAATTATGATTGTTACTATACCACTATGCTTGTCATAGACAACGCCCTGATTCAGGTGCATCTCATCCA